AGTGGTCACTGTGTGGTCACTCTGATGGTCACTCTGAGTGGTCACTGTGTGGTCACTCTGATGGTCACTCTGGTCACTCAGTGCTCTCCCCAGGCGGGGGGCTTGGGCCAGGCGGCCGAGGGGGTGGCGCTGGAGGCTCTCAGTGGTCACTGTGGTCACTCTGATGGTCACTCTGGGGTTCTCAGTGGTCACTCTGATGGTCACTCTGGTCACTCAGTGCTCTCCCCAGGCGGGGGGCTCGGGCCAGGCGGCCGAGGGGGCGGCGCTGGAGGCTCTCGTTGGTCACTCTGGGTGGTCACTCTGGGGTTCTCAGTGGTCACTCTGATGGTCACTCTGATGGTCACTGTGATGGTCACTCTCAGTGGTCACTCTGGTCACTCAGTGCTCTCCCCAGGCGGGGGGCTCGGGCCAGGCGGCCGAGGGGGCGGCGCTGGAGGCTCTCAGTGGTCACTCTGGGTGGTCACTCTGGGGTTCTCAGTGGTCACTCTGATGGTGACTGTGGTCACTCTGATGGTCACTCTGGTCACTCAGTGCTCTCCCCAGGCGGGGGGCTTGGGCCAGGCGGCCGAGGGGGTGGCGCTGGAGGCTCTCAGTGGTCACTCTGGTCACTGTGATGGTCACTCTGGGGTTCTCAGTGGTCACTCTGATGGTCACTCTGGTCACTCAGTGCTCTCCCCAGGCGGGGGGCTCGGGCCAGGCGGCCGAGGGGGCGGCGCTGGAGGCGGCGCTGGCGCAGCTGGAGGCCGAGATCGAGGGGTGCCAGGGGCAGCTGCGGGCGGCCCAGCTCAGCCTGGCCCAGGTGGGCACGGGGGGCACAGGCGGTCCTGTGCCCGGGCAGGGGGTGCAGGGGGGGCACGGGGGGCCCTGTGCCCGGGCAGGGGTCACAGGGAGGTTTTGGGGTGCCCTGTGCCCAGGCAGAGGTGCAGGGGGGGCACGGGGGGTTTGGGGTGCCCTGACTGCCCCTCCATGCCCAGGCAGGGGTGCAGAGGGGCACGGGGGCTTGGGGTGCCCTGGCAGGGATACTGGGGGGGCACAGGGTGTGTTTTGGGGTGCCCTGTGCCCAGAAAGGGATGCAGGAGTGCACAGGGAGGGTTTTGGGGTGCCCTGTGCCCAGGCAGGGGGGGCACTGGGAGGGTTTTGGGGTGCCCCGAAGGATCACCCCCATGCCCAGGTAGAGGCTGAGGCATGGCAGGGGGCTCTGAGGGGGCACAGGGGGGCCCTGACTGCCCCTCCATGCCCGTGCAGGGGGGCTCTGGGGGGTTTTGGGGTGCCCTGGGGGGGCACGGGGGGCCCTGTGCCCAGGCAGGAGGGCACAGGGGAACTTTTGGGGTGCCCTGGTTGACTCTCCATGCCCAGGCAGAGGTGCAGGGGGGCACGGGGGGAGTTTTGGGGTGCCCTGTGCCCAGGCAGAGGTGCAGGTGGGCATGGGGGGCACGGGGGGCCCTGGCTGCCCCTCCATGCCCAGGCAGGGGTGCAAGGGAGCACAGGGGGAGTTTTGGGGTGCCCTGGGGGGTTTTGGGGTACTCTGGCTGACCCCCCCCACCCACGGCCAGGCAGAGGCCGAGGCATGGCAGGGCCGGGGGGCTCTGGGGGGGCTCTGGGGGTTTCGGGGTGCCCTGGGGGATTTTGGGGTATCCCGGCTGACCCCCCCAATCCGTGCCCAGGCGGA